ATTATTATTCATTTACGACGTGATTTTCTATAATTTTGAAATTAGTTCAGTTGTCCCCGGCACATCAAACTTCAAAGGCCGGATGGCTGGACTTCAAATTCACAGGTACTTTACATCCGGCCGGCCCACCATTCGCCTACACTTTGAGCCCCATTTCTTATTACACGTTACGATTGGCCGTACGGCCCAGAATCCTGTCCGGTCGACCTGTACTTGTAATATTCCCTCTAATGTAAACCTTTGTAAAAGTACATGGAAGCACACTGGCAATCTCTTCAAAAAGCAGGGTCAATAAAGCATATCTTATCATTTCTTACATAACAATTGCACCGCCTTGGTAGGATACAGGAAGAAAAAAAAACACGCACCGTGCCAAATTATATATTATGAACATCGACTCTGTTTGAACAAGCTTGCTTTCAGCTGCACCTCAGGTTGCTTGCTGCGTAGATTATTGTATGTAAAAAGAGAAACACGCTGGATGAATGCAATGCTTGTAATGCTAAAAAGAGACCGCAGAACAGTCGGCTGACGCAGGCAAGTGGCCTACACAACTACAAGGCCATTTATTAGAGTTTTCACATGTAACATGTGTGTGTGAGGTAGCGAGGTGAAATAAGGCGCTCGTCAAAATAATCAAAGTAAAAAAACTGGCATTTTTCCGCAGGTTTGGGAATTTTTATAGAATTTTTATAGAATTTTTGGTTTTTGGCTTAACACCTTTCATGCCCTTAAGAGAACACATTTCTGTTTTGATTGTATTGAAAAACGTTGATTCAAGGCATAAAAGATGACGTACATTTTCAGTTTCCACGTACTCTCAAGCTGAGGAAATAACTCAACTTTGGAGGCCACTTTCTCGTTAATTTTACCTCTGAAACCAGGCGACCCCCACCTTAAAATTCCCAATATCTTGACTTATATGGGCATTACAAAAATCCAAAGTAAGGCAAATGAACAAGCTATACGATAATGTCAATCACGTCATATGCCCCAAGATTGACGAGCGCTTGGCTCCACCGCGTTGTGACACATTTAATGTTGTTATTTACAGGCCCAGATCCGTGTATAAATGCATTCCGTAGAATCTATTGAAAATTAATAAACTAAACAAATATATGAACAAAATACAATTTTAAAAAGAAAAGAAACAAACAAACAAACAAAAAAAGCATCGCTAAAAGTACAAACACAGTAACGCCTGTTTAGTAATGGAAAACAATTTACATATCCAAAGATTTTGAGATACCGAGGAGCAAATACCTGGCAATGTTCTTATTTGCTTGAAGATATTCAAGCATGACAATGTGGCCTTGACTTCTCCAGTTTAGAATCTGATACCTTGGACAAAACAACCCGCCCTAAAAAAAAGCCAAAACCCCAAGAGTTTCGTAAATATTCTAAATTTGGTCTGACCTAAATGTTTGGACACGAGTGTTACTCGTATCTAAGCATTTTTTTTTCTCATAATTTGAAGAGAAGCGTTTGGATTCAATAACAGCGATTTTGCTATGAGGAAAAAAGCTGGACAGACTGACAGATAAGATAAAGGGACGGTAAAAAAGTAGAACGTTCAAGTGGCACCCCCGAGTCGTCTGCTATACATTTTTATAGTGCGAAGAATATTCTTCGTTTTGCTGTAACTGTAACGTACTTGGCCAGCAAGCAGACGTCTGAGGGTTCGAATCCACGAAGAAGCAATTATGTTGCCAGCCTATGTAAACTTAAAATATCTCCAGGTTCCTCTCGATCTTCCCCTAGCTTGACCTTTTGAAATGCCC